GGGTTATTGCTAATATCCCGGTTTTGAACGGGTTATTGGCTGCATGTAAACGTAGTCATTGTAGCTACTTATGCACCAGATCTATTTTGTAAATGCATTTTATTGTTCTCATTGTTAAAGATTCATCAATGTGTTGCATTTTTACTCGATCTTCCAGTGAAATCTTCCAGCTTCTCTCTTGTGACTCATGTCGGACTTTTCCAAACATTTAGAGTGTTCAAACTTAGTTAGCTCCTCTTGGTTCGTTTGGTCTGAACCAAAAAAGAAAATTAGACATTTAGTCTTAGTTTGCTTAGCTTTCACACTGTCATTTTTTAACACAGAACCTAAAGATATTAAATAAAAAGTTTTTTCCCTGTATATTTTGCGACGGAACTTATCAACCATCCAAACCAAGGCTCTCTTTATGTAGTTATCATGGAGCTGACAACTCAAGAAGAGCTTATAAAATGAGTAAAGGAGTCAAAACAGCAGAAAACACCCTTTGCTTTAATTGAACCAAACCTGCCTAGTGTGACTGTGAACACACCCTTAGTCTGCTTAAACACTGCCACTTTTTACAATCACCTGCTAGCTCACATTCATACTCAAAATCACTGCCTCCATCCATATAAAAAAAAACATGGAAAGAACCAAGTCCTCACCCATCTTTCTTCTTTTTTTTATAATCTTTTTTTTTACTCGGATGTTGATCACAATATGAAAGAAAAGATTTGTTGCTACTTCCATTACATCACAACTGTAATCTCTTCAAGCAGAATACTTGTATGCAGTGACAGATTAATTAGAGACATCCTGTCAACTGAAAGCCCTTGGCTCGCTCTTTGTGGACACTTGAGGGGAAACTCTCTTAAGCGATGTCCTGAAGTACACGTTTACCTGAGTGAACCCGTCACGGGCGACAAACGTTTCTTTGAGCCTGGCTGACTGCACTTCTCAATCCCCTCTGCTCTCTGTCCAGCACTCTAAAACACTACTTTCTCAGTAAAAGTTAAACAACAAGCGGGAGATGTGGTTGTGTGTCTTCCTCTCAGCTGCTTTTGGTTTCTGACCCACAATAAGATAAACACTCCTACCTTTTCGGCATTTGTGGCGGCCAAAAAAACCCTGAACCAATCGATGATGGCTAATTAATACAGTTGGGGACAATGAGACTCCTCTCTTCTCTCTTCTTTCCTCTGCTTAAATTAATTATAGCTGAGAGAGAGACTGAAAAATCCTGACTGAAGGTTTGTGTTTTGACTCCAAAGCACTAGTGCCTGTATTTTCTCCCCGTATGCCTCCAAACTTACTTTAAGGAAAGATAATTGCTTAATTGCATTAGGGTTTCTGAGGGGGTGAGAATACACACACACATGATCACATGCACTTAAAAACACAAAAGGGCTGGTTTCGGAAGGGCTATTTTCACTGTTTACTCTTCAGGCAGTTATAGTAATAGTTATAGATGTATAGTTAACAGTAATAGTAAAACTGTATATTCAATTATTGTCTTCTCTTAAAGGAACAGTTCATGCTAAATTTTAAGTTCTGTCATCATTTACATCCATGTCACCCCAAACCTGTATGACTTTCTTTCATCTGCATAAAGAAAAAGGAGAAATGTCATGTTTTCCATTATTCAAGCTCCAAAAGAGGGAAAAGTAACCATTAAAGTGGTTCATTTGACTCACTAATGCACTAAATTGTTGTCTGAAGCTGTATGATAGCTTTGTTTGACCCAACTCAAGTTGTTATTCTCTGAAAACTTTGACATCCGCTCTCTTTGAGGCATTTGAGACAATTAGTTCAAGAAGAATGTCTGATTCATGATGAATTGTTTGAACTTTTCAGTGAACCGATTCTCTTTTGCACTTTCATTTGCATATTTAAAATTGCCATTTGACATCAATGATTGTTTCTTGATTATGACACAAATGAGATTTGATAGCTACAAGACATTCAATGCTCAAATTCTTTTGGGTTTTTGGGTTCCACATAGAAGAGAGAAAATCATACAGGTTAGAACATGAGGTTGATCACTCCCACAATGCATCTCTCCTTTGGCATACGCTCTTCCGCCCTGCTTATTATCCAGCCGTTTATAATGCCTAACAACTCTGCTGTCCTTTCTACTTCTCATCTGCTTCTACATAACTAATCCTCTTAACGCTCGTGAAAGTCCCGTTCAGCGCATTTGTGTTTGCGTATAATTGTGAAAGACCACGTGTGCATGTGTTTCGCTCGTCTGCGGCTCATTGTTCAGCGTAGCCGAGTGTTTGGGCAAGTTCACTGTCTGACTCAAAATGAGTGAATAATGACAAAACGCTCCTGCTTTTCAGAGAAATGACATTGCGCTTCCATAAGAGACAGGGAGGGACTGTGACTGATTCTTTTTTCCTTGCTCTCGTTCTCCATAACATTATTTATCTCTCGTTTTCTGACTGGCCGCCCCTCCCTCTCTCCCCACTCCCTGTAGACGTATGCCATCTCTGCAATAAAGTATTGTCTGTTGGTTTATTGATTCATTTACTGCTTCTAGAACATTCTTTTTGAAGGAGGAAGAGGTCAGACAGCAGCACATCCATCAAGCGGCCGATTGGGCGAGTGTATTTGAACTCATTTTGGGGGTGTCATAACAAGGATGGAGGGGGGAGGCAGTTATTTGGCCCCTGTTGATCTGAGGCCAAAGTTCAACTTGGAGCATTTAGAGAGGTTGTGATCTAACTGCGTGCGTTCATTCACAAGAAAAACAAGAGAACGCAATCATGAAGTTTCCTGTCATTCAAGTAAATGGATTTTGCAGGATTGAAGCTTACTGCGTGTATGTGTGCATCAAAAAGCAAGACTTTTTACTCTCGCACAAAGTTTGCTCCACTTTGTATAATTCGGCCAAAAAACTTCCCACTTAGATTAGAAAAGACTGTCTGATTGTGATGTAAAGCGACTAATCGCAGGTCATTTGGGTTTTGGGCTGTTCAGGGGTGTGTTAACATGAAATTAATGAAAGCATAATAATAGCACATTGAAATAATAGTCTTTGATCAAAGCCTCACCAAAATACAGACTATTTCACGTGCATAAAAACACAGCTATATACAGTGGTCGGTAATATCATGTTTATTTGCTACAGTATTAAGTGGCATAAATAAATCTTGTGAAGATCTTGGTTCGGTACTGTTAATATGACTTTGTTTCCTGGCACCTGTGTGTGTTGACCCTTAGAATGACAGCCGGATTTATTTTGCAAAAAAAAAATAAAAAAAAAATAGCAGGAGCTGGCTGAAATCTCCTCTTCCATGTGTTATGGTGAGCAGGTTTTGTGAATGCATGCCCGGAACAGTCTGAGAAACTGTGGTTTCTTGATTCTGCAATGATACGATGCTTTTTATCTCTTTTTTTCTCAGTCTCTAACCTTCACACTAATGCACAGACATCATGTTATTCATTAATTGTATTAAGATGCATGGTCTACCGGCTGTTACTATTGTTTCCCACAGTAAATCTTATTTAATGGGCTTCTATTGCTCTAATTTCCTGTGCATATCAAGCACTCGAGTTCATACTGTGGATGTGATTACAGGAAGGAAACCCTTTAAATTGTTGATATCTTTCGAGATATTTTATGTGCATTAAACAGAAGGCACTCTAGTGAAACTTATACAGTAATTTAATCTATACATAATGAGGATATAAATTATTTGTAACCTAATATTTTTTATTAGTATTAATCAGATTTTTGTTATATGTAATTTACCCCAATTCTTCGGAACACAAAGGAAGATCTTTTAATGAATTTGATTCCAGTCCCTCCATTGACTGCTGTACTACCACTACAACTACCACTTTGACGCTTCAAAAAGTTTACAAAGAGATCGGAAAACATAAAAACACGGTTCAGTCCAAATTTTCTGAAGAGACTGGATCGCTTTATGAGCAGATTGAATTTTCAGCTTTTGTTCTCATATAAACATTCCGCAAGTGGTTTGTTCTTGCGCTTAAGTCAGGTTTGGTTGATCTTCTGTTTGCTGTTTACTGTATGTTAATAAAAGCCTAAATTTATTTTGTTCATCATATAAAGTGATCAAGGCTTTTTCTAGAAAATTTGGACTAAACCGTTCAATTATGGATTATTTTTATGATCTCTTTATGAACTTTTTGAAGCATCAAAGTGCGTAGCCTGTCAATTGAGGGAAAGAATGCTTTCAGATTTCATCAAAAAGATCTTTGTTTGTGTTCCGAAAGTGAACGAGTCTCAATTTTCATTTTTAAATATTTTGTATAATTTTTATTTTTATTTGCTATTAAGAACATGCATTTTTTGACAATATTTTCATTACAATTAAGCTAATCCCCCAATTTATTTATTTTTTTAATATTGAAATATTGTAAAAATTGTTTTACTTTAAGTCATAAACATAAACAGAGAGAAGTAGCTCCAGCTTCAATGTTTTTTTGCAAGATACATACACATTTTGTTTATTAACCACTAGCGCGCTTAAAGTTAGACTGCAGCTTTAATAAACAATTTATTAGTGCATATTTTAAGTATATCATTAAGACCCTATAAAACAGTGCCAATTAAACTGTAATTAATGTGGGATAGTAAATTGAATAGTAAAGTGTTCATTAGATGCACACTTTAGTATCTCGTCAGAAGTAGTCAATTATCCCGGTAGTTTTTGCAAACTTTTTTTTTTTACTGCTCTTTTCACATACTGTTTTTCATTTATTATATAGAAGTCGGATGCAGGCTATATCATGAAAGGCCTCTTTGTTATAAGGGCTTTTTAAAGTCATCACATCATAATTTTTACTAGATTTTGGTTGGAGGCCAATTGCTATACTGCCCCCTGCTGTCCGGGAGGATGTGTGAATAGACATCAAAATAGGATGAAATCCGTCTCTGGGCAGTAGTGGTAGTACTAAAGCATTTGATCTTTCTTCATCCTAGACTCTCTCTCTCTCTCTCATTATCTCTCACGCTCATCCAACATCTGTCTTTCTCTTTTTCTCAACAGACTTGATGGTTCTTTCTATGAGATCATGTGGGTGGACTTTGAGATTGACAATTTCATCAACCTGCGGTCATCGCAGTCCATCCGCTGGCAGATAGAGTATCCCTCCACTGGAGCATCTGCCGAAGTCATCTACACTCTCTACATCAGCCAGCGAGACCTACAGGGTATCGTACCCATCGCTGAGGTGAGAATGCACCCTTCACACAAAATCATCTCAATATTTTCTAGAGTTGTCCTTAGGTAATATGTTTATTCCCAAATACTTCTCCAAAATACTGTCCCTTGTTTTTTCTTTAATTCATAGACAATAATTTTTTTAATTTTACCAGTGATATGTTGAAAAAAAGTATTTCATTTCATTAATGTAGTCCCCTTTAAACAGGGATAATGGAAATTACAATTACACATATCTTCTTTAATCTTATCTTCTTTTATCTGACATACAGTCCTGAAAATGCTTTGCTGATTGGAGAACAATGCTGTGTCATTTAGATTTCAGCTTTGAATAAAATTCTAGTCCTGGACATGCACCAATTTTCCCTTCGTTAGATGGAATTCTCATTTAAGGAAATTAAAGCCCCCGTTAGTCTTATGGTTCATCTACATAATTGTCATGACAATTAAGCAAAACTCCTATTTATTTATTTCCTTTAAAAAAAAACAGTCACGTCAAGTCAGTTCCCTAGCCGAAGTTCTTATTTAATGAAAACTTAAGCGCAGGCAGTGCTGAATTTGATGATGAAATTGTATCATCCAACAAAATCATCCACCTGACCTGTTATAAGCAGGCTCTGTAGGGATTTAAGACTTTAAGTATGTCAGTCCTTCAGACAAGCAGCCTCCTGTGGTTCTGTGTGATATGAACAACAATACTTTGTCATGTCAGAACCATAGGACGCAAAGAACGTTTATAGCAAATAGAAAGCAGCAGCTATCTCTGTGCTCTCTAAAACACAGCATGAGCAGTCAATAGTGAAGATGAAAGAGCAAGAGAGATGTATGGATGTTTGGTCCAAAGTCGGTGTGAGGAATTTCCACTCTTCAATGCCCACTTTTTTTACCGCATTACATACAGATCAGAAAATGTTCATTTATCTTCATCTTATTTTTTATTTGGGTATTGTTTATTTATTTACAATTTAGCTCTTTTTATTGATGAAATATTATTGAGTTGACAGGAAGTTATAATGAAATAGAAAAGAGAAGAGGATCAGGACATGATGTGGGCCTTAGTGTCCTGCATCAACACTTGTGATAACCACTAGGCCACGACCTAGACACCTTTTTCTTTTATCACCCTTGTGTTTTGACCTTCAGATGGTTCAGGTCATGTGTTCCTCCCCTACTGTTTGGAGCTCCATGAGACATGTGCCTTCAGCAGGGGGGAGAGGTGACTCTCACAGCCCCAAACTGGGCTCTCCTGCTGGGGTACATGATTCTAGCACGCACCCATCAGCTCGCTCTCACCATGGAGCCTCTCGCATTGCTGAATGGCTGTTTCCACTGTGGGGGAAAGTCATAGAGACTGATGTAGGAGGATAGTGTGTATTTTATAGTTATACCATTTTTAAATCACATACAATTTTTCTAGATTTTTTGGTTCTATCTATGTAAATACTATATATATATATATATATAGCAAGAATTCATAAATTAATCAAAAGTGACGGTAAAGACTTCTATAGACCCCTTTTGCGCCGACATCACCGTTACGTCACGGCTTGTTTGGTGCAAGTATCAATGAAAAATGAATATGCTGTATCTGGATTTTTTATTTCTTGAAAATATTCACATGATTAAAATCGCACCGTAATGACACTCTTTACATTGTCGTCTTCTCTGCCCTGGCTCGGCAGCGGATCATACACACAAGTCTTGTACAGGACCATTCAGCACAAGTTATAGGCATCTAAAGATTTATATGTCCTCAGTTTCTCTTTACGATCGGTTTCTCTATAAGGTAGGTGTAGAAGTCAGGCCACTCAACCGAGGTAACGTACGTTAATCCTGTCAGATCGTCCATGCATTGAGTGAGCGTGTAGGCGGCTACGGGTCGGCCAATCTGGTTCTGTCCGTTAAAAATAACTTTTGGAAATAACATTTGCAGTCCTGGACAGTGAGTGACCTTACACATTAAGATAAAATCTGATTTTCTCCAGTCATTGTTAAAAAACAAGCTAATAAAACTTGCTAACTAGCATTACTGAAGCAGCCAGAGGGATCGTTCTGCCTGCACCTAAGCTCCGCCCACATAAAAACGTCACCATGTTTACCAACTGAAAAGGGGTCTATATTGTTACAAATAAATTTGTGAGCATTATAGACTTCTTTCAAAAACATTTAAAAAATTGTACCTATAATAAAATGTATATAAATATATACATTTATTTTTTTTATGTACATATATAAAATATATCTAAAGTTAAGATATGGCAACACTTTGAAAATAAAGTGCCATTTGTAAGTTTAACATTTGTTGCAGTATGTGTTGACCTTTCAACATTACGTAATAAAAAATCTGCTTTATTGTTTGTTCATATTAGCTCATGTTCATTTAATAATATTAACAGATACGCCATTTTTATAATGTATTAGTATGTTTGAATGAACATTTAACTAAAATAAAACAAAAATGCTTTAGAAGTGTTTTTATTGATAGTTAATGTAGTTTAATAAAGTTAACAAATTGAACCTTATTATAAATGTTGTAAAAACAAATATAGGTAATTATTACTATTTTATAAATGATCTCTTTCCTCAATTTGTCTTTCCATCTTTTCTGACATCCAGTCAAAACCTCTTAAAGTTAGAGCTTGTTAGAGTTCCTGAGTGCCTGTCAGTAAAGAAAGACAGAGACACGTGACTTCAGAGACTTCCAGGCAGAAAAGGTCAGAAGATGAAGGAGTCAATGCTGGAAGTGGCCCAACACTGTTCATTAACACACACGCACACACACACACACACACACACACACACACACACACACACACACACACACACACACACACACACACACACACACACACACACACACACACACACACACACACACACACACACACACACACACACGCACACACACACACACACACACAGTGTAAAGCAAATGATAGGCAAAAGGAGATGAAAAGATGTAGTTTGGGGTGTGATAAAGGTAATGTTTTTGTAGAAGATTGAGTTTATACATCAGTGATGGTAAGTAATAAACTGCAGATGTTATTTAATTTCTACATAAAAAAACCTCACTTTCAAAACCCATCCTGTGTGGATTTACCCCACAAATAAACCCTTAACAGGACATATTTGTGCTCAGAGTAGCTTTTAGTACTTGGTGAGTTCCAGCAGAGATACAACCTATTAGCAGTAATTTGCCTTGCTGTGTAGACGCTATTTTACCCACAATGAGTATGTACTGAAAGAGGCTATTTCGCCCCTCTCCACTCTTTGGTGTTGAAAGCCAGTTATAAATTGGATCAGTGTGGCTGTTTCCTTACATCTGAGGTGCTGTGTAATTCTGCTTTGGGCTTGTTAGAGTGTTTTAAGCCCCAGACGGTGATACCTCCAGGCCATTTTCTTAGCATTTTTTCCATCTCTCTCTCTCTCTCTTACCTTCTACCTTCATACTCACCTTCTCTTCTGTATGTGTTCCGTATGTGACCCCTCTATCTTATCTTTTTTGCTATTTGTGTGTGTGTGTGTGGATGCGCTTCCTGCAGTTTGAGTTGTTCCCAGTGGAGCGAGCAGAAGCCGTTGAGTGTCTGAGCGGTAATTAATTCTTAATTGGAACACTTGTTTATCTTTGTTGTTTGAAGATTCCAATGAGTTGCTGAAATACCCAGCGGGCCGTGTAGCTACGAGAGGGGCGGGGCTTTCAGCTGTGCTGCTTAATGCCGGTCTGCCTGCGTTTGTTTACATTAGGGAAAGATAGCAAGAGTGGGGCAAGTGAACAAGAGAGAGGGAGCACGATGCTTAATAGCAGCCGTATTCGAAATTATAAATTTGCACGGCGATGAGCCGTTGCTATGGAGAGATGGGCAAAGAGGAGACTTTAAATGAATTGCTTATGCAGTATTGTGGTTTATTTCGATTACTGTTTCATGTTGTATGAATGATTAATGGGTTATAGCAATGGAGATGTATGGAACGGTATGAAGACAATCACAGCACGTGCGATTGAGGGGGATGGATGCTTTTCATGGCGAGAAGACTTCGGAAATGAGGAATCAACATCTTGTATGCGGCATTGGGCTTTTTAGAATGTGAACGTGATTAATTTTCCATTTGATGTTTATACAGTTTCAATGTATATATACATAGTTATAACTTTAACAGATACATACTATACTATAATAAAACACTGTATGGTGTGGTGTAGCAATATTCAAATTATAACAGCATTGATGGAAATAATAGGGAAGTTTGCAATTTCACAAATGCTGTTTCATCTACATAATGATTTTTCTGCATTTTTATCAGTTACTTTGTTAAGGAAAATGATAAAATATAAAGATATCACAGATCTATATTACAGTGGAATTACACTAATGTGTTTTCACCCTTTTATAGGTGGCATCAATTATAATATTACACATTAATTTGCTTGGAAGTGATATGCGATTTAATTGCATTTAGAAGTTTGTATAAGTAACACTATTATGATTTATATTTTATTTATATTTCAGACAAAAATTAGCATGAGAGTGTTTTATAAAAGGTCAAGAAGTGCAAAGTTAGCTGTTGACAATAGTGAGAAAAAAGATTCTGAACTGCTTAGCAACAGTAAAAGACCGCTGACAATTAATTCAATTTCAGTTTGTATAGGAGTTCCAAGTGTATGAATACATTAATGAATTTAATGTTTAAGCTAAAGAAAAAAATGCTTTTTTTTTTTTTTTTCCATTTTTTCCATTGTTCATATTTTTTACACAGAACATAACTAAGGCTTGGAGCCAGAGGGGCGTAAGTGGCTTTTTACAAACTTTACAGGAGAGACAAAACAAAATTTTGACCACACTTCAGTCACCTGTATTATTAACTTTAAACCACAAACATTGCAACCACAGGCATACTTACATGAATGAGTTTTTATGTAAAAGAAATTAATGGCATATAAGACAATGAAAATTTTCTTAACCGTTTTCAAATTTAAAAAATAAGTCAAATACTTTAGATACGCCTTTTTGT